GATGTCAGCATGATACCACCCCAATGCCACTGCAGCCCCACACTCCCCCGGCCATCCCACACACAGGACCTATCCCCACATCGTGTTCCCAAGCCCTGCAGTGACGCAGACGATCTGAAAACCCTCCCGGTCCGCAGCGCCCTGGATGCAGATCCATGTACTTATATGGCCTGCAAGATGCGGTGGGACTATGACCAGCGTCTGGAAATCCAGATATGACTAGATCCCTTCATTAGTAATTTCTTGTACATGACTTTCTAGACCATAGGGATTTGTTAAATTTGCAGGAGTGTTTTCTCACAGTGCCACGGACTGGCTGCTGCCAGCATACATTGGCTCGGATCTGTCAGATCCTGTTGCCTTATATGACCCGCCGTTAATTCCGCTTTTCTTTGTATCCAGCCCTCAGCGGGGAACTCCTCGAGCAGTCTCAGCGTGGATCATGCTAAAATGGTTCCCCGGCCCTCCTGCCATAAAACAACTGCCCACACAGTGAAAGGGGGGATGCGGGGGGTGGATGCAGCTCTCCCTCCCCACCGCTCCGCTCCTCTCCAGATGCTTCCTCCATCCCTGAGCTCCGGTGCCGAAGCGAAACTCATCCTATAAAACCCATCCCACGAAACTCATCCCTACAAAAATCGTCCTGCAAAATGGTCCTGGAAGGACCCGAACTTTCCCCCATTGCCCCCACACTGTGGGTACAGCAGTGTTCCACGGGCGTACCCCACTCTGTGGGTTAATCATTGGCTGCTCTGCAGGTCCAGGGGTGCCAATGGGGCGAGAGGGACTTTACCCTCCCTGGTGACCTCTTGAAACTTTGCCCTCTCTTTATGGGGGCCATAAAGGTTATTTTTTAATAGCACCCCAGCAGGGTCCCCTGTGCTCTGCAGCGGGGTCCTTGGCCTGGGGACAGCAGGCATTGCTGCTCTTTGCCCTCGTGAGGGTTTGGAAGGTTGGGGTGGGTTGGGATAAGGCATCAGGGTGCCGAGCACCACCATACTGGCTGCCCTCAGCCTTACACCTCTGTGAGCCCTTATGCACATCCTAAAGCCTACAGCATTGCCTGGGCAAGATTTCCAGCTGGAAAGAGAATACCCACCTAAGGAGCATAGGGCATCCTGCTGAGCCTGCAGTTCTGTATCTGCCACTGACAGAGATAAGGAGCCATCACCTCCCCATACAGCCCCCAGCTCTCTGCTTGTTAAATACCTGCTCAAAGCTCCCCTTTCCTTACAGGCAACTTTTCCTATCAGCGTTTTCTCCGGCCCTTAAACATGCTCTGAACCAAAGCACTTCTGACTGTTGCAACGATTCGCTGTGTTATTGGAAACCCCAAATCGAAACCCATCGAGTGGGTGACGTGGCAATGGGCTACGGGTGAGGGGTCAGCTGTGCTGAAAACACTTCTCTTTCCCTTTTTTTCTATTGGTGAGAAGACAGGGCATCCCTTCTGCCCCATAGCACAGGGTAAGGGAGGAGATGGGAGCAGGAGGAGCCCCACGGCCACCCCGCTTGCTATGGGGAACCCCATTGCACATCCCAGCCCCACATCAACCCCCAGCACTCAGGGATATCAGGTCAACCCCCGTGCATCCTTGTGGTCCCAAAATGGCAATCTCCTGCCCTGGTCACGTGGAAAGGACAACCCTGAGCCTCTGCTGCCAAGGATGGAGCATCCCCTGATCCAAGCCCACCAACCCTCAAGGCCCTCTGCCCTTTATTTTCCAGTCCAAGGTGGCTCAGCACAACGTGACCCCATCGCCGTGCCCGAAGGCGCTCCCTCCAACGCACCTCCTATCGACGTTGCCCCGATTTCCAGCATCGCTGTGTTGAAAAATGGCAGGGAAGGGTTTGGCAACGCGGCCGCGCGGATTATTCAACAATTGTTTCCCATTTTGCGCCCTCGCCTGCCTCATCCTCCAGTAACAATGACGAAGAGCGGCGCGGAGCCAGCGCCCGCGGCAGGGGTGTTGAGATCAGGGACAGCACAAAAATATCTTCTCTCTGGAACAAATATTTACCAACCCTTCTGCCTTTTGTTCTTGTGGTTCTCATATTTTTTTTCCAGACATTCACTGGCAAAATGTCACATTAAACAGCAACCCAGAAACTTCGGGGTAGCAGCTTGGCTGCTCTGGGTTTTGTTTTTCTCGCGCGCTAATTGTTAATGAATTTCCAGCCATTCAAGCCAACACAAACCTGTGAGAAAAAGATCTTTGCGGCCTGAATTCGGGGCTTCACAGGGCATCGTGAAGGTTGGGCAACGCGTGCATGGTACCAAAGCCATGGTGAGCCCAGAGCTGTCCCCATCCGGGCAGAGCCGGCAGCGCTCAGCCACGTCCTGCTGCGCACACGCACAGGGAACCCTCCCAGCATTGGTACTGCTGACGGGTTCTGGCTCTGGGGTTGCAGATGGGGGAAAGTGGGTCTATGTCACTGCGTTCCCCTCAGTCCCAGCACCACCGCCGGCCCCATGGGCTGCTCTGCTGCCCCACGGCAGCTGCCCTTTGATCTCTTCAAGACCCAAAAAGCCTCGCATCCAATTTTTATGGTTTCCAAACAGGAGCGCAGGGGTCATTTATTGCACTGAAAGAAGTGGAAGGGGGGTGGTAAGGAGAAAAGCCTCCTGGTCCATCAGCTCCTATTTCCTGTTAAAAATTAACTGCTGCCATAAAATCCCCAACACACGGTGGAGCACAGCTCAGCACCAGCCCCTGCGTTGCTGTGCCGCTGCCACCATCCTGTCTCCAGCTTGGGGATGGCATTGCCACCACCCACCAGCACCCGCTGCCTCCTGCCCCTCTCACTGGGCCTGTTCCAGGCTGCCCTGCTGTTCTTCTTTGCCCTCTTCATCACCTATGACAAGCACTCAGCTGCAGCCACAAACTCAGAGGACGCCGAGCATGCACCCAAGCAACTCCACAGCACCTTTCCCTTCTTCCAGGACATCCAGGTGATGCTGGTGGTGGGGCTGGGGCTGTTGCTGGCTTTCCTGCCCCGCTACAGGCTCAGCGCATTGACCCACAACTTTCTCCTGCTCAATGTCTCAGCGCAGTGGGCACTGGTGCTGCAGGGTCTGCTGCACCGCCTGCACCACGGCAAAGCACTTCTGGGGCTCCACAGCATGCTCAGCGCTGAGTTTGCTGCCGTCACTGTGCTCATCTCAGCGGGAGCCGTGCTGGGCAGGACGAGTCCCTGCCAGCTGCTGGCCATGGCCCTCTGCGAGGTGCCCATCTACCTGGCCAGTGAGTGGCTCATCATCACCCGGCTGGGTGTCCTTGATGTGGGCGGCACCATCACCATCCACATCTTCGCCTGTTACTTTGGCCTCGGCGTGTCCAAAGTGCTGTTTGGGAATGCAAAGCCAACGGTGCATCCTAAAGAGACCCCAACGCCGCGCTCCGACCTCCTGGCCCTGCTGGGAACGCTCATCCTCTGGGTGTTCTGGCCCAGCTTCGTGGCTGTGCTGTGCCAACCAGAGGATGCCCAGCACCGTGCCATCCTGCACACCCTGCTGGCATTGAGTGCCAGTGCCATCACCACTGTGCTGATCTCCATCCTGCTGGAGAGTGACGGCAAGCTGAACGCGGGTCACCTGCAGAACGGCAGCCTGGCGGGCGGTGTGGCCATCGGTGCAGTGGCCGACATGCATATCACTCCAGCAGCAGCCTTGGCACTGGGCAGTCTCTCCTCACTGCTGTGCATCCTGGGCTTCCAGTTCCTCACTCCGCTCCTGGCAAAGAAACTGGCGCTTCAGGACCGCTGTGGGATCCACAACCTGCATGGCTTGCCCGGCATCCTCGGCGCAGTGGCCAGTGTTGTGGCTGCTTTGGTGGCCCCTGGGGATGGCAGCGAGGCAGCAAGGCACAGGCAGGCACAGTGGCAAGCAGCTGGGCTGATGGTGGCTCTCGGTGGCTCGCTGCTCGCCGGGATGCTGGTGGGTGCTGCACTGCGCCTGCCCTGCCTGGCCCCACCGCCTGAACCACTGTGCTTTGAGGATGCACTGTACTTTAAGCTCCAGGAGCGGGCAGAGAGCCCCCCAGCTCTGGGCAGCAGCACTGAGGTGGACCGCCTGGCCATGAAGGAGTGCGTGTAGACACCAAATGTGGGACGTTCAATGGCATTTCCAGCAGGGGCTCATGAGAATGCACAGCTCCGGCTGCTGCAGCACCCTTCTGCCCACACCCACCTCAAGGCTGAAAACCTCTGCCCCCATGCAGCAACAGGAGTTGAGCACACACCCCTACGGATCCACAGTCCCACGGATCAGGCTTTATGTCTCTGGATGTCTCTTCCCTACCTGCCAACACAGGATGGCCAATATCCCTGTGCTTCCCCGGGCTTCTCCACTGCATCTCTGTTGGAGAGCTGCAGGGCTGGAAGCAGCATGGTGGATGAGATAGCCACAAGCGAGAGATTTTTAGAGGGATTTCATAAGTTACAGTGTCTTGGATAACCCAAACTCGACCAGGACTCTCTGGATAAACTGCAGAGGGAGCTGCCTCCCTTTTTGGCCAGCAATGCCCAGACTGGTGCTCAGACAGAGCCAGGTTGCAGGAAGGACCCCTCAACCCATGGAACTCTCTCCACACCCCAACAGCAGGGTTGGGAGAACAGAAGGCAGCAGGGGGGCCCCTGCAGGAAGAGCGGTGGCCCCATCACATACAGCCCAGCCCCACAGCCACCCCACTGAGGACAAAGGCTGCAGTCCCTTGACAGCAGGCGGCACAGGGCCTCATCCTGCCTGGGAAGGGTTGTGATTCACAGTCCTCTCTCCATCTCCGTGAGTCACGCACTCCTGCTCCATCACTGCCACAGAGACTACGTTGAAGGCTCCCAAAGAGGGTAAAGGCAGTGAAAAGCCTCCCCCAGTGCCTGCTGCAGGGATGGGAGCTCTGGGCACACAGGGACCCCACTGTGAGCCCTGCAGCTTGGGGCTGCATCCCCACTGCCTCACGTGGCCCCAGGCAGAGCCAACACCAAGAGCGAAGCTGGGGAATTCGCCCTCCAATAATCACAACCAGGCTCGGCAGCCCGGGCGGGTTTGGTTAATTGTTAGAATAAAATATTGTTCAGTTCTGACAAAGGAATCCTGCCCTGCAGCCCGGCGCAGCAGAACAATGGGCCCCGGCGGAGGGTGCCACGGGCTGAGCAGTGGGGACGGGGCCTGAGCACAGCCACAGTGCCCCAACAGCACCAGTGTGGCCTCGTGGAGGTGTGCGTGGTGTGGACACGGAGCAGAGCCTGCTCCCTTCTTGCCATCCAGCCCACATCACACAGCAAGAGCTGCTGAAGCCTGCGCTGTCCCACGGAGCTGTGATGCCATCAGGGTCTGGAATTGCTGCTGCTCTGACTGAGCCCAGCATCCCACTCCGCTGGCATCCCGCTGCATGGCTGCAGCTCCAGCAGGGACATGGAGGAGGGTGCATGGGGCTGGCGGCTCCAGAGAGTGCTGCTACTGCCTTGGGAAACTGCCATATCACACGCACACACACGAACAGACATCACACACGTGCGTGCACACGTTCACACCCACGTGCACACACACGTATCCACACGCAGCCCCGAAGCTACAGCCCCTTTGCTCATCGCATACAGCAGGATGGTGGTGCACAGCACAGGCCCCTCTCTGCTCCCTTTTGGAGTTCTCATGCTTTACCCGCTCAGCCTCCTTGCAAACACTCCCCTCAGCTCTGAGCTGTTTCCCAGCACCCCCAGGCCCATCCCAGCAGGGCTGCACCTCCTGCAGAGAACCCAGCACCGCAGGCACTGCTCCACCAGCACAGCCAGGCTGCATCCAGCACCCATGGGGCCACGCAGCGTGCTGGGAAGAGGGCAACGCGGGCACCCAGAGCCGTGCCCACATCTTGGTGGCACGTCCCAGCACGGGCCCAATCTGGTCGGCAGATGCCTTCCAAAGCAGCAACAGCCTGGGAAGCTATGGGGGGGGGGGCTGCCCTTCCCCACTGCGGGACCCTGGGGTTTGCGTTCACGGTTCCCAGCACGGTGCTCCTTTGGGGGCTGACACCCCCAGCTCAGTGCCCACCCACAGTGTCCATACGGGATCATGGGAGCTGCTGCCCCGTAGCCAGGGGTGCCAGCACCCACCTGGGTCGTGGCATGGCTCTGTACAGCCCCACTCCCTGCTGTCCCCATCCCCTGGGATCCGCTGTCCCGCAGCCGGAGCCGGGCAGAGCCGCTGCTGGGCGTGCCGCCCCGAGCCCAGCTCTCCTCCACCACCGCCTCTCTCCAAAGGATGAAGCAGTAAAATATTAACCAGAGCCCCTAGCGTTTATCACACCGTAAATCTGGGCTTTCAACAGCTTTACGATGCTGCAGGGAGATGGGAAGAGAACAAAACGCTCTTCTTCTTTGTCAGACACAGGCTGCGTGTGCCAGTGCCCCCAGCGCTCACTCCGTGCCCATATGGGGCTGACAGCCCCATCTCCGGCCCCATAGCCCCCGCCCCACGAGCACCGCAGCTGAGCAACAGGGCAGGACATACGGTCCTTGATTGCTGGGGATCGGGGCCGCTGCGTTCCCAGGATGGGGATGGCACTGCTCCATCCCAGCAGCACTCTGTTGGAACGTAGCATTGCAAAAGGGTGAAACGTGCCCCCGCTATCAGCTCCGCATTGATGTACCAGCTGGGTGCGCTGCCAGCTCCCAGGGCTGCAGCACGCTGAGCCTGGCACAGAGCAGCCGTCCCCACAGCCCCACACGCTGACCCCACTCCCTGGGGCGCTGATTGCAAAACAAGAGGCGAAGGGAGGAAGCGGTGATTGCGCTGTTTGCAAAGCGCTGGGACGCAGCTGGGAAGCCGATCACCACCAGGGCATGCACACACCTGCGGGACAGCGTGGCACGTGGCTGCGCGCATACAGCCGGCTCCTTGCACGCATCCCAACGCGGCACAGCCCAGCGCAACTCATCCCCGTGCGGCATCTCCTCCTGCACGATGCATGTCACGTTCTTACCCTTCACACGGCCGCCCTTGAGCGAGGCGGAGGCTGGCGCGGTGCCGACAGGATGCCAAGAGCCTGGCACCGCGCAGGGGCCGGGGGGAGGGCAGGGAGGGCTGCAGGGAGGCAGCGGCTTCTGGAGCCACATCAGAGCAGCCCCCCCCAGAGCAGCCGGGAGCGTGCGGTGCTGCCCTCGAAGGAAATGCGCTCACTCCCATGTGCTGCACACTTGGGCTCGCCTCGCTGCTATTTTTATGTGACTTTTCAGGCCCGTTTCCTTTTTCCGGCTGTTTTGCTGTGATTCCACCGGCGCTTCGACCTCGTTTTTCCCCTCCCTCTCTTCAGCCTCTTCCTTCACTCTTTCCTGCCTTTCCATGCACTCATTCCTGCCGCCGCACCGGGCTCCCCGTGCCCCCGAAGGCAGAGATTGCTGCAAAACCACCGGCGCTGCAAACGCTTTCTGCAGGCGGTGCCGCTCCGGTGTCACTTCCCTCCATCACCCCGAGGAAAACGAAACAGCACCGCACGCACCCATCCCACCCCACCCCGCTTCCTCCTCCAGCAGCAGGGGTCGTGCACCCCGAAGGGCGATCCCGAAGGTTGGACCCCCCATCTTGCATCCACCCTCCTCCCCCCCAACACACGCACAAAGCGGTGGCGGCTCACAGCCCGCTGCTGCCACCTCGCGTCCCGCACCGCCGTCCTCGCAGGCAGAGCGCCGGGGAGGCAGAGAAGGGTTGGGGAAGCTGAATCAGCGAGCACAGCTCCGCCACAGTGAGGCCGAAGAGCCCCCATCCCACACAAAGGTCGGGGCTGCAGAGCCAGGAGAGGATTTATTTCTGGTCTCGCACACCCCAACCAAGGAAGGGGGCACAGCCTTTAGGGCTGCACTTACCTCTAAGGGTCCCTCCCAGCCGTGCTCATACTGACCCTCCATTCCCCAGCTGTTTATCCCACTGCCCTCCCCCAGGTCCCCTCACACAGCCGGGGGCCCAGGGCAGCTCTCCCAGTCCCGGAGCCCCACTCACTCGGGATGCACATCCTTCTACCCACAGATACACAGCACTCCGGTGCCAGCAGAACTCTCAGCCCAGTGGGTCACATTGTCCTCTTTCTGCTCAGGAAAGCAGCTGGTGTCCCCACAGGGCAGCAGGGGAAGGGGATGCAGGGCGAGGAGCAGCACAGAAATCACTGCATCTCAGTTTTCTGCACTTCACCCCTTCTTCTTCCCCAGGTTTCGGGTTGTGCCCCACATGTGGTCCCTGGGTACCATTTGGGCCAGGAGGATGAACTCAACCTGGGCACCTGCTTGTATCTGCTGAGCCAGCTGTGGGATTCGATTCACCTCAGGGTTCGATGCAGGATGCCAGCAGCCATGAACCCAGATGCAGGATGAGGTGCTGGGGTGTCCCCTATGAGTCCCGAGGGGCCGCGTGCAGCACGTTGAGCTTCTCCCAGCACGTGGCCAGCCTCTGTGCCTTCCTTGAGATCTCCTTCAGCTGCTGCCTCCTGCGGTGCGGCTGCAGTGGGGGGCGTGGGGGGCTCTGCTGGGGGTGAGAGAATCAGGCACGGGGACAGCAGCCACCAACATGTCACCCGATGCCAGGGGAGGATGCTGGCCCCACACACACAGGGGCTGTGGGTGCCTGAAGCACACACAGACACAGCAAGGATGAGGCCTATGGAGAGCTAAGTGGCACAGCTGAGCAAACCATCCCTGCAGCACCCTCCCAATGGCACATCCTCACGCAGGGCAACAGGTGGCTTCCCTGCACCATGCTGACGTGCACCCAGCATTAACCCAAGCTGATTGCAGCAGGGATGTGACCCCAGCGCTTCGCCAGGCAGAGCTGGGAGCACCCTGGGGCTTCCCCGCTGGTTAACGAGTTCTTTGTGGTAGGGGATTCTCCCCTGCTGGGGTTTCCCCAGCAGATCCCTGGGGATGCCCAGATTGATGTCTTGGATCCAAATCACAGGTTTTGCCCACAAGCACAGAACCGGAGCACCCACCCACCCACCAAGATCATTTGCTGGGTGCAGCCTTCAGCCCAGGGCTGAGCAGGTGGAAGTCCTCAGGGTTGTGCCCCCAGCATAAACCCAGAGCAGCTCTTCATTCTTACGGATGCTGCAGAGATTCCTCGAACACGAGGTGGCAAACTGGGAGCTGTGGGGTGATGGGGAAGGGGTGATGCTCTCACCTTGCCAATACGCCGGCAGTTCTCCCTGAGCACAAACTCAGTGTCCCGGACCACCTTCCATACTGCTGCCTCCTCAGGGCCCCGCAGAGCACCGCCTGCCACGTCCCGCAGCGACATGCTGATGTTGTAGATGGACTGCAGGATCCTCTGGTCCTGGGAGGGAGAAGGGAGAGCAGGCAGGAATGGGGCTCGATGGCTCAGCCCACGATGTGCCCCAGCCCTGAAGCTCACCTTGTCAGAGCGGCACACTGGCCCGGCCCGACTGCTCCTCTCTGCCGACCCGCTCAGGTTTTTCTGCAGCAATAAAGCAAGGAGTGCATCAGGCTCCACGAAGCACTACTGCCTTCCACGTGGGGCAGGAGTCCTGCATTGAAGCACAGCACTCTCCCCACCTACCTGCAGCGTGCACAACCCCGCGTTACACTTAAGGTCCCTTCCAACCCAAACGGTTCTACGATCCCCCCCCTGTCCCTGCTCACCAGGTTCTGGATCTCGTGGAAGATGACAGCTCTGTACTGCCGCAGGATCCTGGCGATGCTGCACCTCCAGCCCCTGCCCAGCACGGTGGCCAGCAGCAGCAGCAGCACAGCACAGGAGAGGGCCCTGGGGAGAAGCTGTGCAGGGAAAGACTCAGCGTCAGCCACGGGAAAGCTTGGGGACACCAAGCAGACCTATTCCCTCTTTCACAGACACAGCATGCAGGAAGGAGAGCAACAACATGCTCCCTGCAAAGCCATTGCCTCCTGCAGCAATCGCTCTGCTCTCAGCCTTCTTCATGACCCCACTGCAGTGCACACAGCACAGAGATGTGGGAGCTCTGTGCATCCATCGGGCCTGCCTGCACGCTCTCCACCCCCGCACCGCCCCCCCCCCCCCCTCCCAGCACCCCAAAGCCAATGGGAACTGAAAGGGACCTTAAGGCAGAGTGGGGCTTCAGCTTCCCCACCGACAAACCTCCGCAGCTCAAAGCAAACAGTTCCAAGCTGCTTGGAAAGATGCTCCCCACCATTTCACAAAGCCCAGAGCAGCCTCACCGCTCAACAGCCTTCCCAGCAGAGCGGGGAAACCCAGCTGCTGACAACTGAGCTCACTGGGAACCGTGCACCCGGATACTCTGCGGGATGAGCTCAGGTTCTTTGAAGGAAAGTTGAAGGAAAGCCAGCACAGCCTCAGATGACCGGGACCAGGGATATTTGAGCAGCAGGGTGAGGATGGGAAGCGCAGCGCACCCTCAGCATCTGCCATGAAAGAATGTTGGCGGCCCTGCTCCCCTGTGCAGCAACAGCAGCACCGCTATGGGGTGGCACAGTGTTCAGGGCCCATGCTGGCAGCGGGCATTGCTGCCTGCTCCTGTCTGCAGTGAAAACCCCCACAGGCCCCAGCTTTTCCCCAGTCAGGTCTGGGCAGGCAGAGAGCGGCTCAGCACCCTTCAAAACACAGCCCCTGCACTGCAGCCAAAGCGCACACGGTAGGGAGGTTTTCCATCTGCAGCTCAGGGCTTGGGCTTCCCCTCTGCTTTCTGGATCTCTGCACCAGGTGATACTCAATGAAAAAGCTCTCCAGGTTTCCACTCCTGAAACCTTCATCTGCTTCATTCTCCCCCCTGGACATAGTGCTGCTCCTGACTCCAAAGGCCAAAAGAGCCCATCCTACCCCAACGCTCTCAAAGCTCAGCAGGAGCAAGGGGAGCACAGTGCGATGCAACATGCAAACCCAGCACGGTGCAAGGCTGAAACCCACAGACAGCAATGCACGGAACCCAGGGTGTAACTCTCCAAAGGAGAACGCTGCTTCCATGAGGTCGGCCCGTCCAAAGTCCAAAGCTACTCTCAGGAAGCATCTGCAGCCAGGAAGACAAGGCCACGTAATTTTGCTCAAACCATTAAGCCAGCAATGACTTCCCTGAAGTGCCTTATTAAACAACTGGGACCAAATTCCAGGAGAAAGCACAGCATTTACAGCATTTACAGTATTTCCAGGCAGCCCAGCCTGGCACAGGGGGGTTCCAAGAGCTCATCAAGCATCAGGACAGGAACTGAGAGACCTCTATGGGTGATTCCCACTGCCCACACAGCACAAAGCACGCTGCTTCCCTCCCTTCTGCACAGGAAAACACATCTGACTGCTGCTCTGTGCTTATCCCTCCTCCCCTCGGTGCCAGGAGGGCCAGCACTGCCCGCACATCGGGCTGCTCTCAGCCTCGCTCCCTTCTGGCAGGAGGAAAACGCAGGGAGTATGGCTGCAGGACAGAGCTAATCTCTTCCCCAGCTCTAATCCTCCAACAAATACACAGAGATAAGGGAAATCACCATCAGTGATACAGCAGCACTCGCGCTACCATCGGCTGCACAAAGGCACAGCACTCCCTTCCAGCCCCCGGGGTCCCCGTCCCATCCTCTCTGAAGGGGCCCCTCGCAAGGACCAGCCCCACCAGGTCCAAGCCGCAGCCCAGCCCCGGCCGGACCGGCCCTCCCCTCCAGCTCCACGCCCTCCTGGCCAGTCCAGCCCCGAGCTCCATCCCGAACAGACCCTTACAGCAGGACCTTACAGCCCCATCCTGAGCAGACCCTTACAGCAGGACCTCGCAGCCCCATCCCAACCCATGCCAACCAGTCCAAGCCCCCTCCCTAACCCAGCACAACCCCATCCCTAAGCCCCTTCCAATCCTACCGATCCCTATACCCAGCTGCTCCAAGCCCTATCCCAACCGTACCCCAACGATCCCCAAACCTCATCCCAATGGCTTTGAATCCCATCCCATCCCCTTCTGCCCCAAATCCCAGCCGCAGCGAGGCTCCAACCCATCGCCCCTCGAAGCACCACACTCACCATGGAGCCCCGCAGGCGTTGGGGGCCCCCAGGTTGGCCCCACGTCGCGTCCCGCTCCGCCAGGGCTGGCGGTTTGAACTTGGCTCCACGCACGGGGCTGCGGTGGGAGGGGACGGGCCCGGCCCCGTGCAGCGGGGGGAGCGTCGCGGCCACAGCACCGCCAGCCCAGCCCCGGGCTCCCCGCTGCACCCAACCTGCAGCATGCAGACCCCAGCGTGGCACAACGGTGGGAAGCCAGGGAAGGAAAGGAGACGGCCCCGAGCTGAAGGCAGAGCCGCGGGCTGCTCGCACCAAGAGATCACGGCTGTGAGGTCAGGGTACGGGAGGCTGCTCTGCCCCGAAAGGCCCCTAGAAGGTGAGTGGGGAAGGGTGGTGTGGTTTCACCGCATGGATGCTGGACGCCTCCTGGGTGCTGTGACAACACCAAAGCCTGGGGACGCACAGCGCCATGAGTGCCGGTTGCTTTAATCATTCCAAGTCACAGCCAGAAACCCTACGAGGCTTGGTTAGCACTTCTAGCTGCAAAGGGCAGAGTGCCTCCTGAGAGCTGATGGCTGCAACACCCACAGGCACCATGATGCTGTTACAGTGAGCAAAACGCCTTGCTGCTTCCCCACTCTTGCACTCTGAGCAGGGGACGTCAATGCCAGCACGTGAATCCAGGCTCAGAAAACTCTGCCCTGACTCCAGGTTTCAATTGCTTTCATGCAGGAGGCGATGAAAGTCACCGCCACACAACGCTGCACTGGGGTGAGATAAAGCAAAGAGCTGAACAGTCCGACTTCTCAGCTTGGCACGTGGGAGCAGGAGCCATCCGACCAGGAAAACGTTCCACCGTGCACAGTGGGAATACACAAGAACATACCATTGCAGACAGGACCCATATAACTTGTTTATTGAGCTCTATATATAGTTAAATTTCATAGGTGCCATGATCTGCTTAAAAAGACAAAGACATCTAGGCACGTTAAAGGGCTCTGAGATGGATGATCCCATTTATCTGTGAAACAAAAGTGAACGTAAAGGCCCTGGGCACCTGAGATGCAGTGGGCAGGCTGGGCGAGGGGAGCGCGGCGTCCAGGAGGAGAATGCAGCCCAGCCCTGGCATTTCCTCATCTCCAGGGCACCAAACCCTTGGAGATGATGCTGACACCTGAGCAAGAAGCAGGGGAAGCCACTGATCCTGCCCTGCAGCACACGGCTGGGGGGAGATGCTCCAAACTCCCACAGCTCAGGAGTTTCTCCAGCACAAAGAGCCACGCCACTGTGGTTCCAACCACCCCAACCCTGCAGCCATCAGGGCTGTTCAGAGCCCTGTCTGTCCCAGCCTCCTTCCTTTCCCACACACCCAGCCTCTCTCCTTCCCACAGTCCGTGTCCCCACTCTGCTCCTCAGCCTCCTCCTGCTTCACCTTCCCATAAACCCACAGACATCATCAGGGCACCCTAAGCAAATCTCTCAGCACGTCCACAACCCCAGCAGGTGCATTCCCAGAGCACAGAGAGCCTGGTAAGCTGCAAGCTCCCACTATCACACCCACTCTTCCCAGTCAGAGCACAGGGCAAGAACCATTCAAAGAGAACATAAGGAAACAAAGCACAAGCTGTATTTTATACATATTTTACCAGCTAAAACCTTTGATAAGTCCTTCCTCCAGCTAAATACATTATATGACACACACACACAGACCCAAATACTTTTCATGTATCTAAGTTCAATGAATGATCACAAGAAAGTTAGGTTCATTAGGTCAAAATAATACAGATTCCAAGCATAGAAAATTAAAGACAGCTTACAAAGGGTCCCAAGAACACCAAAGCTCTCCTTCCAAAGCATTCACTTCCTGAAGGTGGTCATCCAAAACACGCACAGTAAAAAGCAGCTGGCACTGTAAAAGTGCAACTTGTCCCAAAGACTTGAATGAAATCTTATTCCTTTAAAGGGATTTCAAGGATTGCTGGATTTTGCCTCATTACTTTAAAATATGACTGTGCTTAATGAAATCGAGCATCTAGAAGAATAAGGTTATATTATGTACATCTTAGAAAAAGAAGGCTCTAAAATACTGTGGAATTTCACAAAATGCTCCATCTAGTCAGGTTTGAGGAGTACTGAGCTGTGCTGCAGTTTGCCAGCAGAGATCAACTAGAAATAAGGATCACCCCAGCCGTGCCCCTCTGCTGCCCAGCTTCACCCCAGCAGAACCCCCCCACCTCCTCCAAGGGGGTTCAGACACAACAGAACAGTTGGGCCACTCACTACCAGCAGTGCAGAGTAGGGGACAAAGGCAGGCACTTCATGCTGCAGAGGAATCCAGGGCCGCTGCTGAAGGTCAGAAACCACACAAGCAGTAATGAAGGCTTATGTTTAGAGAGGGGATTCAGGTACCAGAACAAAAGTGCCAATGCAGCCTTACAGAACTGCTCAGCTCCCCTACATTTACACCAGCAGCAACACACAGAGGAGATTCAGATACACTTGTGCTAATTACTGCATTGTGTGAGCCTAGAGCACTATTGCTGGAACAAAGAGAAGGAATCAGCATTTCTCTTGGAGGAAAGACCTTTCACACTGCCATCTATCTCCTGTCCTCTGAGCTCTGTGCCACGTCGAGGGCAAAAGAACTGAAAGCAGGGAAGCAGACAAGTCCTACAGAGGTGATCGATGTGGCTGAGGCCAGCAAGGTCTAGAAGGTATTTTTCAGCTTGGCTGCCACAAGCACAAGAATCTCTCCAATCTTCTTCTGCCAGTTCACTATGTCTTTGGAGACATCACACCAAAGCTCTCCGTGGCGGGGCTCAGCGTTCTCACAGCGCTTCCTCACCTCTTCCTGTTGCTCCTGCACCGAAGAGAAATGACAAATTTCAAGTCTGTAAACGCTCTGGTTTGATCCAAAGGGCCAAACATTTCGTAGTCTTCTCCCTGATTCAAACCCTTACCCAAAGCCTTCCTTTGTCCCCCAGTCCCCACTAAGGGAGGTAGGGAAGGAAGTTTTAATTTCAGCAGCAGCTCTCCTGCCTTGCTGGACAAACTGGCCTAACTACAGTCAAGCAGGTTTGGGCTACCCCAAAGAAACTGCAGCAGAAGTTTCCTTTGTGTTACTGCCCCACAGGTCAAGCGAGAGGCCTCTGTGAAGTCAGAAGATAACACTTCCATCATTTCACTAATATCAGGCAGTGAAAACTGCCATAGAGATTAGAAGTGCTCCTCCAGCTGTGCCCATAGGCAGCATGTGCTCAACACTCGGCGAGACACAGGACAAGTTGCACAAATCTAGCATCACAACTGCAGGAAAAGCCTCCCATGGGAAAGCTTGCATTTTACAGGAGGAAGATTGATTTCATAGGTCTTTGCATGAACTAGCATGACTGTGGATAGCAAAGCAGCCAGGAAGACAGCTCTGCTAACGACAGTGCCTTTTAGAAATCACCACACGTGTCTGTGCACGCTCATTTTTTCATGTGACAGCCTCAGCCTCCTGCCTGCAAGCCAGCCAGGCAGCAGCAGCATGCTGTGCCCAGCACTGCAGCAATTCCCAACACCAACCAGGGATTCCTGCTGCCTTCCCTGGCTCCCCATGTTTCCAGGTGCACACTCACCTCTGTGCCATGCTGGAGCTCAAACTTGTAGAAGAAAGCCCAGGCATCTCCCAGGTCAGAATCAATCTTCACCGTTCGGTGGAACCATTCACGGGCCTTCGTTATTTTACGCTCACTCCAGAATAATCTGTTGGGAAAAGCAAATAAACAAACGTCCTCTCCAGGGGAATACAGCAAGCTGCAAGCACTGTGCAGGTATTTCATCTCTTTGTTCTCCCAAGAAGGAAACGCCAGGTTCTGTGCTCCACCAGGGAAGGGAAGAGACATGAGAGAACTGAGCACTTCCACTGCCTCCTGTGCTCACAGCCAAAGGAAGAGACAGACACTCCAAAGAAGGGCAGTACTCACTACTTTTTGAGCTCACTCCTTGCTAACTTAACTGTTTATGAGGTTGGATAGTGATAGGACAATGGGGATGGTTTCAAAGTAAGACAGGGGAGGTTTAGGTTGGATATTAGGAGGAAGTTCTTCACACAGAGGGTGGTGAGGCACTGGAACAGGTTGCCCAAGGAAGCTGTGGATGCCCCATCCCTGCAGGCATTCAAGGCCAGGCTGGATGTGGCTCTGGGCAGCCTGGTCTGGTGGCTGGTGACCTGCACACAGCAGGGGGTTGGAACTGGATGAGCATTGTGGTCCTTTTCAACCCAGGCCGCTCTATGACTCCTTCTATGATTTTAACTCATTTAATTTTGCTGTGGGAAGGAATAGGATTATATACACCCAACTATTTTCTTTCTCTTCACTTCTTATTATTTCAAGTTGATTTTAGCATCTTAACAATTAACTTCAAGCAGTTGCAATCGTACGCATGTTAACAGAGCCACGACTGCATGCGACCACGCACACTAGGAATGCTCTCCTGCCATCCCCACCTTACAGGGAAAGACAAGTATGCAACACTCCAAGCTCAAACCCAACCCTGGCACACAGCCCAACGGCTGCCATTTCAAAAAAGGCACTTGTGAATCCTGAAATTTCTCCCCAGTAATTAACCAGCTGAGTCAATAGCCTATTGGTTTCATTCCTGTGCATTAAAGAGTTCATTTGAGCTAGTAAGGTCCTTATCAAATCAAACAGCCATCCCTCATAA